CTGCACTCCCAGGTGCCTGTTTGCTGTGCTGAGCTCCTGCACTCCCAGGTGCTGACCCAGCACCACTTTCAGCCCCGCTCCGACTCTGGGGCCACGCCTCCCCCTCAAGCCACTGCTGTGTGTGTGAGTGTCCAACTGCTTTGTCTTTGGACTTGAACAATAAATCTTGAGTGGACAGGAAGTGGATTCCTCTGAGTGATGTTGCCATTCATGATGGCAGTGCCAGTGGTGTGTCCTTTCTCTGTTTCTGAAGGCTTCCTTGGTGCAGATTCAGATTCCTTCATGCCTTGTTTCTCAGGGTTGTGGTGCCCTCTTTCCTGGGAGCTTACGCAGCTGTGCTGCTCCCCATCCTGGCCTGGTGCACTGTGGCAGTTCCTGGTTGGCTCCTCAGGGAGCTGCCAGGATGTGGGACTGTGGTGGAACAGGGCAGGGGGCAGCTGTTGAGGGAGGAGGATGGCACTCAGCCCCAGCACCACGGGCCAGCTCTCACTTCCTCTAGTGCCCTGGAGCCCTGTGCACCAGCCCTGGAGGCTCAGGAGGCTGGCAGCACCTCCTGCTGGCACCCCACTTGCTCTGGCAGCAGCTGCTGCCCATCCTTGTCAGCCAGGTGGCTTTTCCTGGAGCTCTTTGACCTGGCACTGCACTGCCCAGCCCTTGGCCTCCAAGGAAAATGCGAGCTGAGGGCTGGAGCTGGGCCTTTGGTTGTGAGGGGCCAGGGAAGGGCAGCGTTCAGCTCCTTGTGCCCACAGCTGTGCTCCAGAGCCTGTCCAGGAACAGCACACAGGCTCCACTGTGTGCACATCCATAGGAGGCTGCATGGATGCAAGAAGGGCACAGCCACACACACACACACACACACACACACACACGGTGGGAACTGGCGCCCAAAGCCCTGCAGATCCCTCTGCAGGTACCACTGTCCCCTGCATTCCCAGCCAGGCACAGGGCTGGGCTCGCTCTGCCCTTGGGAAAGGCCCAGTCAGGGACAGGGATCAGGAGCAAGGGCAAGTCCAGCCATTGGGCTTCCAGCAGCTGACCTGGGGCAGAGCGGTACCATGGCCAGGAACAGCAGCCACAGCAGCAGCCAGTGGTGTTGGAAACCCCTAGTGGTGTCAGAAAAATCAAAGTGAGCTGATGCTTCCCAGCCCAGTGAGGCTACAGAGTTGTCCCTACCCCATGATAATGCCCCTGCCCCTCAAGACTGTGGGCCCACCCCTTCCCATGCCAGCAGTTTGTGCCATGGATCAGGTGCCCAGGCAGGCAGCAACTCAGCTTCTGGAGCTTCAACCACTGCTGCTCCATTCAGGACAGTCAGCAGTGCACAGCTGGCACCAACAGCAGGAGTTATTTATAGAGCAGGAATACTCTGGATTCACCCCTAAGATTCCCAGTGCAGATGACAGAATTGCTGCATCAGCCTTCCCTGGCAATGCAGAGCGTGGAGCTGAGACATTTGCAGGGAAGAAACATTCCCTACTCTGGCTCCCTTGGCATGTCTGATGTTATGATCATGGCTCTCTCCAGAGAGGGATTTCAGCAACCCCTTTGCTTTATCCCGAACACAATTCCAGAACAGCCTGAATGCTTCCCCCTGGTGCTGGCTCCAGCTCGAGGAGCCCGGCCTGGAAATACACTTGCAGAACAAAAGCTTTTCAACAAAAATGAATTTATAGACAACTCCAGTCAGTAAAGTCAGTTTTGCTTTAACATCAACACAGCCTGGGTTAAACTGAACCACCCCCAGTGCAGTGACTGTTAGGAAGCCGTGCTTGTTCTGCCCCACTCACCTGGCAGCATTTCTGTCATTGCCGTGATCACACCCCACCTTCTGCTGAGCCTTTTTCAGTCCTTTCTGCACATCATCTAAGGACAATTTATCTGATGCCACCACCCCTTCTGCATATCAGCATTCCCAGCAGCAGGAAGAACAGAGCCATGTCAGTACCAGGGTGTGCAGGCATGGTCAGCTCAGTAACTTTAACCCACTGCTTGTGGGTTTCCCAGCTGTCCCAAACACCAGTGCTGGGTGCTGGTGAATCCATCACTCCTGCTCCTAAACACTGAGAGCTGCAAGCAAACACCAGTGCTGGGAGCTGCCCAAATGCAGAAGGGAACTAAGAAGTCTAGAAGTTGACAATCAAATTTCAAACCAAACTAGTAACTTTAAGAAAATCCAAATTTCAGAACTTGGCACGACCTTTTCTGAAGTTAAATTAAAAACAACGCTCATTATTGAAGCTCCTTCACAGCTCTGCAGGACAATCCTGTCTGCCTGTCGTAGTTTGATTATGCTTAAATACTTTACAACAGTAGTTCATTTGTTCCCAAGAGCATTCCAAATATCTGAACACATTCACTAAATTCATGGTTTCACACAGCAATTCTGCTCTACTGGTAATTTAGTGGAACCTGGTGCATACTGCCTTTCCCAAACGTAGACTTTAAAATCTCAAATCCATAAATATTTGTATTTTAAATATCTACTTTTACATGAATATTGGGTATTCCTAGCCTTTTTTCTTTCTGTTTACAGGTTTTAGTTCAATAAGGAAACCATTTTACATCACAATCTGATCTGACACCAACCTCACACCCTGTCACACCACAGTCTTTAAGAATCATTATTTAAAAACCTATTTCCTAAAGCAAAACTAAAAGGAGTTATAGGGAGAGTTGGACACCAGGCTTCACCTGCAGGACTTAAATAATATCTTAGCTGTTAATGAATTAGTCTGATTATTTTTTTAAGTTAACATTCACCAGTTTGGCTTTACAACATTCTGACCCTGCCCGTCGTTAACAGCTTAACCCGAGAAGCCCTTAAGGCAAATTCCACTTCTCATCAAGATATAGCTTTAAATACGAACTTTAGCACTTGAAACTTTGAAGTAACTAAAAAGAACCAAAAATTACGAGGAATTCACGTCTCCTCTCTCATACACACTGTGGAGCAGGTCCGTGCACAGCCCCGGGGCTCCCTCTGCCCCCCCTTCTTCCCTGGGCCCTCGCGGGGCCGCAGCCGGGGGCGTCTCCGCTCGCTTCTCTTCGGGCGCTGTCCCCTCCTGGGGAAGTCTCTCCCGAGCCCGTTTCCCAGCCGAGAGTTTGGGCAGCGTCATGTGGAAGGCGCACCAGAGCGCGGTGCGCACCCTGCGCGTGGCCAGGCACAGGGCTCGGAGCGCCGCGGCCAGAGCGAGCACCACTGCAGAGGGAGGGAGGGAGGCAGGGAGGGAGGGAGGGAGGGAGGAAAGGGCGCTTTAGTCCTGCTGCGGCTGCCCCACCTTTCGGCCCCTTTCGTGTCTGACCTTGTGTCTTTACAGGTTTAGAAAAGCTGCATCTGAATTTCTCTGCCCTCACACAGCCAGGCAGGTGTGTGGTTTTTAGGTTCTGAGTTTGTTACAGCACCTTCCTGCTGCAGCTGCACCCCGGCCTGGGCTGCTCCATGCACACACACACTGATGGCACCTGGGCCCTCCCCTCCTGGGTCACAGGGGGTCCCTCACCTGTCCTGCCAAGAAATCCTTACCAGGGCTGAAGGAACAGCTCCTTTGGGACATTGGATTGAAGCACACAGACCATGTTCTGTGAATGGGTGTTAAACCACAGAGCTGTAAAGGGTCACCTGAGCTGTGGTCCCATTATTCTGGCACAGATTTTCCAGAGCAGCTGTGGCTACCCCTGGACCCCTGGCAGTGTCCAAGGCCAGGCTGGACAGGGCTTGGAGCACCCTGGGATAGTGGAAGGTGTCCCTGCTCATGGCAGGGGTGGCACTGATGGGCTTTAAGGACCCTTCCCACCCAAACCATCCTGGGACTCTGTAATAGATGCTTAATATCAGATCAGATGGAATAGAAAGGTGCTGTGGAAACAGGGCTGGACAAGACCTGCTCCTGAACAAACCAGAACAGCTTCAGGCCTTTCCCTCAAGGTTTTGCCTGACAGAGCAAATACAGTTACTGCATCCAGTAATTTACTGTTGAAAAAATCCTCCACAACTGCTGCTCCAGGCTCAACAGCCTAAGACAGCAATGGGAGGCAGAGGACCAAGCACCA